TATCTTTAGAACTGTATTTGTGACTCCATGCGAATAGGTCCAGGAGTGAGCGAGTATGATTTTATGCATCTCAGCTGGAGACACCAGAAATGGTACCCATGTGGGGAATCAAACCCGGGTCTTCAACGTGATGAGCCAACGCTTAAACCACTAGGCTACCTCACCGCCCCAATAGGTCCAGGAGACATGTCAGGACAGAATGGGTGTATAATACAATGCAAGACTGAGTACGGTGCCTTTTCAAATGTTATTCAAGATTTGTATGATGCAATAGTTTACCTTCTGACGGCAAGTCCTCCGATCAGCTTGTATCGAAGTGACTCGCACTGAGCGATGGCGCACAAACCACGGGTAGCAACTTTCTCTGCATACAACTACAAAAAGAGTTCAGAAAATGAATTATGATAACACAATATTTACTTCAATAAACACACATGATAAATTCTTCGGTGAAAACAATCAATTCAGAATTCAAATAATATAGCCAATGATTTAATGTTTATTTAAAAACACTATTGATTCAGACGTGTTTTACAAACTAACTCGGAAGTGAATGTTCTCATATACTCTCGAAAGCAGTATTTAAGCCACAGCATTGCAACCTGTACATTCAGGCCAGATAAGCCTGTCATTGTGAGTGAGTATGGTTTTACGTCGCTTTTAGCAATTTTCCAGCAAACTTTTTTTACCGGTTAAAAAGTCAAAGGACCGGTATATTTATGGCAAACAAGTCCTGGGGACCGGCAATTACTTCACCTGGTTAAATGATTTTCTCCAAATAGACAATAAAAATTCCCAGCAACTTTTCAGATTTAAGGAAACTGCCTTGTACATTCGATCTGCACCATATGCGATATGCGTATGGAATTTCGTGTCTATTTTTAGTAACAACCCCTAGCAATTATTGTCATTCGCTGGACACCTCGCTTAGCCTCGACCCAGATGAGAGGCATTTTGGCGTGAGGCTATAATGTATCAGATAGCAATACTCTATCGGGCTTGACGATAGGGAATGGATAATTAACCCATTCAGCACTGCACCGTAGGCCAGGCAGTAGTCGCATCAAAATGACATATAAATTTAAGAACCTAACTAACGTATGATTCATTTATTAAATCTATCACTTTTCACAACGCCTGAAAACACCTATTATGATACATTTCAAATGACCATATATTATCGACAGAATTAGAGTTATGAACTAATTTTCGCACTGTTATTGAAAAAAAAGAAGAATTCTCGGACACATGCTTCGGTAAAGTTGTCAAACGAAACATAACTAATTCCATATTTTTGTGTGATCGTGCAATGTAACTCAAGTGACATCTCGGCTTTTGTTGCCTCGAACTTACCGTTCATACACAATGTTTAATGCTAAAATATATGCTTAAAGCATTTTTGTCACAGGTCATAACCTAGCACAATACGTCCACAAAGTTCCATACTATATGTACAGGTGAGGATTTTTAGCGCAACACATTCAGATTAGAATGAATTTACCCGTAACTTTCGTCTGAATCACAGTTTTTGTTTACGAGGCCGGTATCCATTGCTGAAATATGATTGGCTGCCTTAAGCTACGTACATGATTTTGACCAATCATGATCCTCATTCAGACTGTCAAAACAGCGTCATTAGAAACCAATCTTTATCCAATAAATTCGCTTCTTACAACTGTGAAAATACTCTTGGCAAGGGTAAAGTGATATTGTTGATGTTCAGAGCTTACGAACGATACCCGCCATCAAACGAATTGCCTTACATGTTATTTGTACGAAGCATCTAAAACTGAGGTATTTCCTGCTGTTGTATCACGTTACCAAGCGGAAAGCCACTGATATCGTGAAATAGACGACCATACACATTATTTGAGAACCCTTCTTATAATGATTTTCCGATTACATAAAAAATAAAATAAAAAGGGGTAAAGGCTTGCATTTTCCTTGATAAACATAGGCTTCTGTACACGATTACCGCATAAAGAGAGGAAAGAGAGAGAGGAGAAGGGTGTCAATTTTGTACTTAAGGATATATATTACAAATTTAAGCTTAAAAATTATGGGAAGGGACAGGGTCATTGATGTTGTACATGAATGAAAGGCAAAGAGGGGTGGGTTGGTCATGTTCCTATCTTTATTAACATGGAAAAGAAGTGGACTGGTAAAAATAATAAGGAACTGGTTTGAGGTTTAGCAGTCCCATGGACTGGTAAATTTGAAAATCACCGGAAACACTGTGCGTGCATGATACGCTTGTAATCTTATATATGTTGTACTTATTGAGTTTTAGGCGTACATTACGCCTCTTATCTATAGCCCTGACTTACCTCAACAGTCCCTTCGGGGAAGTTGAACCTCTTCTGGACCACTGAGGTGAGTTCTCGGATCCTCCTGCCCTTCTCCCCCAACACGTTCTGTGTCCTGGTGGCCAGGATGATGATCTCAGTCCTGGTAGGGGTCACACGGACCTCCACTCCACTGTAGCCATCCTCGGCCAGCTCACGAGTCAGGAACTCATTCAACTCGGCCTTGAATATTCCATCAGCCACAAACTAGAAACAAAATGAGGGTTCAGATGAAATGCTAATTGTAATATTTAATCCATTCAGGATGTCGGCCTCCTCACAAATTTGCTAATTTAGTCTTACAAAACTGGGTTCAGAAAAAAAATATCACATCCTACAGAAAGGAACATCCAGGGCTTACTACAAACTAAGCAAAAAGGAAAGCTTCAGGCCATTACAAGGTGCAAGTGTCAGGGAAGCCGTCATGTAAGTGATGGATACTTTGGTTTTGACAAGGCACTTGGTTCCTTATCAAGTCACACAAAATAACAAAAGGGACATCAGGCTAGAAGGGTATCATCAACAATTGTTGCAGTCGAAGATGGTGTTAGCTTAGCATCATGTGTCCCCTTTGTAGAGCTTCACAAACATTTGTGCATGCACTGAGATTGATGTGTCAGGACATTTTCTGGATTAACTTCTGAATCATACTTATATATTAGTAACAAATTTGACAATGCCTCCAGGCACAATTTGTATTTGAAAATCTTAAACCAGAAAAATACCCTTAAAATATGCAGAGCCTGCTATGAGTACATCTCCAAATAGATTATATGCAAATAAATCACAGTATTCACAAGTAGGGCTGTGTGTATTAGAAACTAACCAGCCTCTGACACTAATCCAAATACAGGTTAATAATTACAGCAAACACATATCTCAGTGATATATGAAGTTAAATGTATGCAGAGGTCATCCGAAAGACAAAAATTTTGATCAACGGACATACTTTACATCAAATATGCATTTTATTAATGTATAATTATGTTATAAATCGATTCCTAATCTAAAAAGATCATCTGTTTATCTCAAGACGACATGTTCTTAAAAGCCCTGCACTAATTACTGATAATGATTTCACTGTTAGAAAGAAAATTGGCAACACCGAGACACAACAATATTAACTGCAGAAGGAATATCCATGAACACATACTGACAAAGAGGGACATCAGGCTAGAGTGGTGTCATCAACAATTGTTGCAGTCGAAAAGATGGTGTTAGCTTTACATCATTTGTCCCTTAGTCACATGTGAAAATATCATTAGATGTTTGGAAGGATCTTATCTTCTAATAAAAACTGAGCTTTACAGGATGTCCAGTAACAGCTCAAAGAGTTGCTGAGTTCTTCATTCTGTTACCCACTTCCAGTTTAGTCATGGTTTCTTGTTTGTTTTGACGATTGTTTCAAATGATTGAAGAGCAGATACCCCAGTGTAATGTAACAATAGTACAACTAGTCAAATAGAAACTAACCTCAAGCATTCATTACACCAAGTAGCTGCTGTGTACAACAAACACATTTCTTTGATCAAATTTGAAATATTTGAAACCTCTTTCAAGTAACTAAATGGAAATCTCAGGCGATAAAACAAGCCAGCTACTTCTGAACTAAGAATTATTCAAGATAAACGACCACTTTTTTCAAATCACATGGGAAAAGCACTGACAATTTAACTATCACGTGTATCAACTTTCGCGTATGTGAATGGGATGCAGCAATTTCAACACCGCATTATTTTAATGTTTACTCATCTGTTGTTTTCTGCTACGGTTTAAAAAGCAAACTAGCAATTTAAATATAACTATGAATCCATACTACCAGAATCTCACTATGTCATGGGTATGTAACTGAACATTTACTAAAAGCCACCTGCGTCTTCGTGTGGTTAATAGATTATCCTTTTTGGACAAGGATAGTTTCGATTTATAACATACTTGTACAATAATACAATGCATATTTGATCTAATTTAATAACTCTAAGTCTAATATGATAAGTAAAATATGGTTGCAACGTCGGATGCACGAAATTAGGATACAGCAGCGATTATGTGGATGACAATAAGTGTTATTAGCACAGTTGGTCGGGTATTACTACATTTGTACAATTGACAACTACTGATACATAGTGAAACATCACATAATTAACACGGACATATCAACAGCAGTATTATCACGTTAAGTGTACTGCTGTAAACACGATATCGCCCATGCCCCGTAGTACGGTAGCTTTACAAATCGACTAACATCTCATTACTAAACGACCGAACACACGTAAAACTTCTAATTTATGTAGAGCGATGAATAAAGTTTAAGTATGTATGTTTATTTGGATATACAAATACTCAGATTACTATATAATACTGGTCGAACCTTCCTTTTCTTGGAAACTTGGTGTGCCATTTTGGCTGGCAATGTGAAAAGGAAGTTGGGGAAATGCGCGCGCAATACGGAAGTATAAATTACTATCGCTGGGCTCAAAAGGAAATAGTAAAGAAATAGTGTCTTAAATATTGCGTAATATGATGATTTGAACACTTTAATAATACTGTGATTATTCTATATTTGCTTTGAATACTATCACCTATAACCATCATAAGGTTATCAAAAGATGATATTGAAAAATAATTCCCGGTATCTTCGTCCCTTTTTTTGCGGATACACGATACCAGGAAGTTAAACTGTGTCATGTGATAAGTCAAACTCATGGATGTTAAATATTTACAGTTTCTTTTGCCAGTTTATTTTGTTTATACAGTGTCAGTGGCATTTGCCTGGCATGACACATACTATGAGCAGTTTGTACATTTTATGCACACATACAAGAAGGCCTATGATGCAAAGTCACCAGAATTTTGGCATCGATTTGAAATTTTCAAGGTTTTCTGCTTTTCAAATTTGATCCTGTTGCCGTAGTGTTGGTTCATTATGCTGATCAAGACTGTTTATCTGTGTGTTTATTTGTCTATAGTTGTGATACCTAAATGTCTGAATTCACCAAATCAAAGCCTTCGACGTATATTTTACCAATCTCACCAAGACATTTTCAAGCAATTTAGAATAAATCTTCCTCTTGCTTCATTACGGATGTTAATTAATTTTTGATTCAATAGGAGATAACATGTGAAGAAGTCAGGTAGTGTAGACTAGTAGTAGTGCAACTACTCTGAACTATTTTGTAAATATGCAAACTGTTATATGGTGCGCAAGGACCTGACACTTTATTGATGTTTTAATGTTTTAGAATTAAATTCCTAATTCCCTAATTTAAGATTCATGCTAGATCTATCAGTATAAAAATGATTTTAATAGACAGTAGCTAAGACTCCAGGTTTCCGTAATAGCATATATAAGTGTGTGAAACATTTTGAAGCATATTGTTCATCAGAAATCACTAATGTAATGGGAAGCTGTCAGATATTGGGAGATTGGTGATTGAAACATAATAACTATTGGTATGGTATGTATAGTGATTAGTTTCATGTATATCATATGGCATTTTAAAAACTTTGAGGATGCATGTATATCATAGGCATACTAGTGTGCAGCAGTGTGGCTAAAACAAATCTGCTATGACCTTGGTAACATAGCTAAACAAAACTGAGACTTTTAACTTGATGACATGTAACTTGTAAGTTTTGATTTGGTACCACACATATTGTTTTTTTCAGAATAATTTGAAACATTCTGCTGAGCTGAATAAGGCCCACCAAAATGAAACAGCTGTTTATGGGGTCAACAAGTTTTCAGATCTCACACAAGAGGAATTTGAAAGTGAGTGTCTAGCTTGCATTAGTTATAGCCACACTAGTAGTAGTATAGAGGGAATAGTGGATCCAGGACCATAGGTACACCCAGCCTAGAAGCTCCATACTAGGCAATTGGCTCCCACAGCCACAAAAAATTAGTGTTTTTCACAAAACTATATCGGACCACTTTTCGTCTCTCAACGCAAGTGCACTCGAATTAGAGATATATATGCGGGTGTATGGATAGACCCATCTGGATATCTCTAATTTGACTGCACTTGCGTCGGAAGACGAAAAGTGGTCCGATTTTGTTTAGTGGCTGTGGGAGCCGAATTGGCTAGTATGGAGCTTCTAGGCTGGGTGTACCTATGCGGTCCTGTTCCACTATTCCCTATACTACTACTCTAGTCGCTGACTTTGGGTTGAATCTCACCCTTTATTTACTCCCCAGTTTTATTAATACCCTGATTGGATGTAGCAAAGGTGGTAGATCCGTAATTTGTATCCGTTCAAGCCTGTAAAATCATCTTGAAATTTTAATTCTTAATCCTTATCATGCTTACAGTACATCTGTGACTCCATCTATGTGGTATTTGTTGTCAATCACATGTTGATCTGTTTGATTGGCATTTTAGAAGTTGATGGATAATAGGAATGGCATGATACTGTATATGACAACATCTAATTTTGATGCAACTTGGTGATTCTAATGCCGTGAAGCCCCATTTCTGGTGTTCCCTGCCATGATATTGCTGGAATATTGCTAAAAGCGGCCTAAAAATAAACTCACTCACTCACTCACTAATGCCGTTGTCAAGTACATGTTGTTGTTTTTGTTAATCTGCTGCTATCACAACTTACATATACCTCTTGCCACTTATTCAGCTTGAAAACAGTTTGAGAATCTGCATTAAACATAGGTCATGCAATAAACCTGAAGTTGTTAACTGTGTAAGTAAACGTACATATTTTCTGTTTTAGTCGCTAATCAGTAAAAGATGTAATGTGTATGCGAAACTGCTTAACATTTTGAATGCCAGTCAGTTATTATATATCTGTGTTAAAGTATGGGAGTTATGGTCACCTCACCCCAGAGGCCGTCTTGTAGGTGAGGGTTCTGGGTCATGTTGTGCTTTTATTCCTCATAGTCCCCCCAAAAGTAATGCAAGAAAATTAAATTCAAAACTAGCTGTGGTAGTACTTATAACTGAGCAGAGCAAATTTGGCCTATTGATTTAAAACTAACTCTTAGTCTCTGAATATATGTAATTTTGATTGAAAGAAACGATTCCTTTTAAATTGATATGGAGTCCCAGTCTGAATGGAGATTCAGAGCGTGAGGAAATCTAGGCTTGTTTCATTTAGAGCTTTAGCATTGCTGGGAGGGCTGCATCAGAAGGGAAATAATGCAGGGTTCAGGGACTGTTAGCAGGGTTAAGTGGACCCGCATCCACGCCTTGGCCCGATAGTTATTTACCTCCCTTTGCTGGCTCCTCATTCTCACACTCGAGCCCGACGGGTCATACCGAAGCATGCCAGTTAAAATATGATACTTGTTGGTCCCTGTCTGGAAATAATTTTGACGATCTGAAACTTTACAAAACATGTAAAGAACTTAATGGGTATAACAAGGACTGAAGTGAAAGTCAGTATAATGTGTCTGAGTGGGGTATTCATGCTTCACTGCGGCATGGTATCTCAGTGGGCTAGCACTATAAAACCAGCTTCAGTCTGGGCTAGAACAAGCAGTCGCGTATACATGAAACGCATGCATGTTGTCATATGGGAGGGCTGGGAATATTCTCAATGATGCACATAAAACCCAATTTCACCTCAGGGTTAAGTGGTTGAAGAAAATGCCATAGAACAATTGTCTTCTTGTCTGTCTCTTGACAACAGAGAGCCAGTTTCAACACAGTAATGCTACAACCAGATTTCAGTTTACCATAGTGTAGTTAAATTGAAAATGTAGATTTTTGATGTTGAAAAACAATTGTTAGAGATGTTCTGCAGAACATTGACATGACTGTTACAGAACAATACCTGAGAGGACTGAAGTCTTCAAGTCTCCATGGCGATAGGATCAAGGTTGATGTTGCAGTACCTTCACTGAAGTTGCTGAAGAAAGCTGGTCCCCAGTATGTGGACTGGTAAGAGTACATGTTGTGAAGATGTACATGTATGTCTAGAATGCGTCTCTGTTGCTATGACCAAAACACGTTAAAATATGGTACTTGTTGGTCCCTGCCTGGCTTCGGCATTAATGGGTACAACAAGGACTGGTCGGACTTCGGAGTCAGTATAAGGTGTCTGAGTGGGGTATTCATGCTTAACTGTGGCATGGTATCTCAGTGGGCTAGCACTATGAAACCAGCTTCAGTCTGGGCTAGTACAAGCAGCTGCACATACACATACACACATGCATGCACATTGTCATATGAGCGAAATATTCTCAAGCCGCGACGATAAAACCAAATTTCACCTCACCTCACCTCACCTGACCTCACCTCTGTTGCTATGCAGTCATCTTGATTTTCTTATGCTGTCTGTGTCCATTTTACAGCCTTAAGTTATGCCTCTGACAATAATGTTGTTATGATGCCACATCTCAGTAATGTATCATGATACGAGGCACACAATATGATACATAGATTTACAACTCTTGTGTCACAATACATATGTGTCACAATACCCCTGTACCACAATACACCTGTACATGACTGATGTGAGTGAGTGAGTCAGTGAGTATGGTTTTACACCGCTTTTAGCAATATTCCAGCAACATCACAGCGGGGAACACCTGAAATGGGCTTCACACACTGTGCCCATGTGGGGAATCGAACCCGGGCCTTCGGCGTGACGAGCCAACGCTTTAACCACTAGGCTACCCCACCGCCCCTGACTGATGTGAAAACATGGGAAATATGACAGAAAGTATTGAAGAATCAGTTAATGCAGATTCACTTGGATTTTCTAACAGTTAGATAGCAGAATTTGTGCACTGCCCCCAAGTCTATATGTTTCTCCCATTGAAAACTAGTGATTAAGGGTTGTGAATGTGATTCGCAAAGGGCGTGAATATGAACTTATGAAATAAAAGTACTGTATCGGGATACAAATGATATCACACACATATCATTGTATTGTGGCCTCACTGTTAATACTCCTCTTTGTGATGCTGCTTTTGCCAATGGTAATGATACAGATTATTGATGAATTAGCAGTCTGGACATTTAACGTGATCAATTTTTTTTTGTCCGTTATTTTTTTGTCCGCAGTAAGCACATATCCTAATTTAAACAACAGATTATCATGATTATATCACTGCTCTAGTATGCATAATATGAATTAATTTGCCTCAGAGATCATTTGAATTTGAATAACATGTCATAAAGAGATTGTACAGTCCAAATACATGGGTCCTTAACGATCGAAATAAGCATCAATATCACGTACATGTATTTGTACAAAACTCCTTCTTGTGAACCCTTTAAAATTCAACCTGTAATGCTGTGCATGATCAAGACATTCCTCTGTCCGTCTTAATGCATCTCTTCAACTGTGAGGATACTGGGTAAGAACTGCCTCCCAGTAACCTGTGCTGATTGTAAGAGGTGACCGTGGATTGGAGTGTTTGTTTAGTTTTATGCCACTTTTAGCAATATTCCAGCAATATCATTGTGAGGGGTACACACCAGAAATGGGCTTCACACATTGTGCCCATGTAGGGAATCGAACCTGGGGTCTTCTGCGTGATGAGCGAAAGGTTTATCTACTAAGCTACCCTACCACGCCCAGTGGATTTGAAGGTTCAGCTCAGTGATTTGGTTGGTCAAGTTTCATAATACCATGACAACGTGGATCCTTACTAATAGAATCAATCATTTGATTGTCTGATCTTCATTTGATTATTTATAGGCTGCCACCACATGACTGGAATATTGTTGAGTGCAATGTAATTAAAATACCCCCAAACTTCATCTTTCCAGCTTATAGTTGATAAAGCAGTCTCCTGATTTTGCTCATAGGAGAACCTATTAAAAAGGCATTAAATACTTGGAGCAATAAGGAAGGATAACAAAATATGGATGAACAACTCCTTTATTGTGTTTCTATATTTTAAGTACCCAAAGAAATATAACCTAGCATTGTGTAATTTTAATTACAGTTTTTATGTAAAATATATATAATCAACACTAAGGTTATAGGGACCCTCATGAGCGTGGTAAGCAGAAGTTGTTCGCACATGGAATGGGGTAAAATCACGGAAGCCATTTAAATTCACACATTTTACCGATGTTACTGTAAACTAGCAGTCAATGGAAAGCGAGGTGGTAATCAGTTCGTGATTGTTGAATGGGGTAAAATAAGCAAGCCAGTTTGTTGCTACAATAAATATGATATTTAGAAAAGCAAAATATATTATGCATTTTCTGTCAATTACACTTCGTTTCGATCCGTGAGTAGACACAATATGATTGTGAATTCTTTGAATAATGTAGACCAAAGTTATAATTATCGGTAACTGACAGTTGTCTGTGGTCTGTGTTTACATGATTAGGACCCCATCGTGGGGGATCGACTTATGCACGAAACATACCATTTTGACACTGATTTTAAGGGTCAAGTTTGGGGGTCGTCTTATCCATGGGGTCTTCTTATAGATGGTCATATCATGGTATCATGTAACGCTTATTGGGGTGGTGGGGTAGCCTGATGGTTAAAGTGTTCACTCATCAAGCCGAGGACCCGGGTTCGATTCCCACATGGGTACATTGTGTGGAACCCATTTCTGGTGTGCCCTGAGGCGATACTGCTGGGATATTGCTAAAAGCGTCATAAAACCAAACTCCCTCTCTCATTTGATTTTTTAACTAGTGTAGAGGGAAACTAGCGTTATACATTTGTTGCAGGCGAAACAAGAGCATCATCTCCCCGATCAAGGATCAGAAGTCATGTGGAGCCTGCTGGTAGGTCACGTTGACCTGGGATATCATCCTTCTATCATGTGTGACAGTCATGACAGCCAACCTCGAGTGGAGTCACTGTTATTAATATTGACAGTTCACGGTTCACAATTCACAATAACAATCTTATCACAACATATTTTTGTTATGCATCGTCATCGGTGATAATCCAGATGCAGTGTTTGTAAGAGGCGACAAACATGATCGGATGGTCTTGCTGATTTGATTCATGCATGTCATCATTTGCAAGTTGCGTAGATCCATGTTTACGATGTCAGACACTTAACTGACCCAGATTTATTTACAAACTGTAAACATATGGCTGTAATGTTGACAAGCGCAGGGTTAAACAACAAACAAAAAAATCTTGTTGTGATGCTTTGCACACATCAAGACATCCCACGGAAAAGAAATAACAACTTTTAAGTGATCCACACCTGTACAAGTTCCGAAGTCATTGCCTGTGAATCTGTTGTTTTAGTTCAAAGTGGAAATATGTATGGTTGACATTGCCCATCTGTAGGTCATAGCAGTATCCTTTTCATTACAATAATTATCTGACACAACCTTACATTCTAAAAGAAAGAAAATACATCACAATAAATAATATGAAAATATTCTAAAGACGTAAGCTTAACTGGCAATTTATTCTGTAGCAGGAAATGATCTCTGTCTATGGTCAAATTAACCTTTTTCATCAATATATATTTTTTTGATTCAAATGACTCCTAACATGCAAAATCTGACTATTTTGTAAACATTTCAACTAATGAATGATTCTTTTGAACCAATTATGTTTATAACAATTTGTGTGATATTAAGTGATTGTCAACAGCAAGGCAATTTGTACAAAAACACTGCCCTGAAATCCACAAGTTTTACTCCCTACCACAAGTTTGTTGTCCTTTAAATATTTTCCTTGTGTGTGTCTTCCCTCCAGGGCCTTCAGTGCTACTGAGACTGTGGAGAGCATGTACGCCAAGACCACTGGTCAACCTGTCCCTGTCCTGTCCGTACAGGAAGTCATAGACTGCTCGGAGAACAATGGCTGCCAGGGGTGACACTTGTTCTGCTCTGAACTGGATGACGAAAGTATGTAAGACTCTCTTCCTTGGTGAGACTAAGATCCAATCACAGTTCAAGTCAGTTGTTATTTGATATGGGAGTGAGTGAGTTTAGTTTTACGCCACACTCAGCAGTTTTCCTATATGGCGGCGGTCTGTAAATAATCGAGTCTGGGCCAGATGACCCAGTGATCAACACCATGAGCATCGATCTACGCAATTGGGATACGATGACATGTGTTAACCAAGTCAGGGAGCCTGACCATCCGATTCCGTTAGTCGACTCATACGACAAGCATGGGTTACTGATGATTAATTCTAATTGGATCTTCATGGATTGTTTGATATGTAGTCATTTAGATCTGGCATGGATATTTGCAAACCTGTAGACTGAAAAGTGAATGACAGTTGTCCACAAATAGGGCTTCTCTGGATTAGAACTGGGGCGGTATTCATAAAGCTTCTAAGAATTTTCTTAACAGTTAAGAATTCTTAAATCCACTAAGAATTCTTAAGTTTCCATAACAACGTTCTTAACTTGTAAGAAAAAACTTAGACAAGTCATTTTGTTCTTAGTTTTCTTCTTAACTTTAAGAAACCTCATGAGGACACCTAACTAGTTCAGAAAATTCTTAGTTATCCAATATGGCGGCTCATGGAAACGCAAACTTTCACACTAGGAAGAATGTTTTGGATATGTACACTGATAGAGAGTTATTACGACATTATCGTCTTGACAGAAGAGGGATAGAGTTTGTGACAGGCTTGATATCGGATGAAATCGACGCTGTTACCTTTAGAAACCGGTCCTTATCAGCCCTATACAAAGTGCTTGTAACATTGAGGTTTTTGGCTACAGGCAAAATGCAGCTTTGCAATGCAGATGACATGGATATTTCACAACCAACCGTAAGTCGGACTGTAGCACAGACTTTAGCTGCTCTAAATGCACCTCATACTGTGCAGAGATTCGTTTCATGATGCTCATGATGTCAATCACTGGACTGTCTGGTCCAATCTTAATTATTTGCAGTCTTCAGCAACCCATGCTTGCTGTAAGAGGCAACTATCAGGATTCGGTGGTCAGGCATGCTGATTTTCTTGATACATATTATTGTAGCATAGCATAGATCAATGCTAATGATGTCAGTTACTGAATTGTTTGATCCGAACTTGACTTTCGTATTTGCAGTCTTCAGAAACCAATGTTTATAGTAAGAGGCAACTAACGGGATTGGGTGCATATTATTGTTGCGTAGATCAATGCTAATGATGTCAATCACAGGATTGACTGGTCCAGACTATATTGTTTAGTCTTCAACAACCCAGAGGTGTGGTAAGAGGCACTTATGGGATCTTTAGGTCAGGCTCACTGACTTAGTTGATGTAGGTCATCATGTTTCAATTGCATATGTATGTGCTCATGATGTCAGTCATTGGATTGTTTGGTCCAGACTTATTTACAGAACTTTGCCAAAGACTTAATGCTGAATGTGGCACAAGAATTTAACAAACAATGTCTCTCTAAACTACTTAACCTTGAAGGTCAGGGTTAGAATATCGATCTTCAGTAACCCATGCTTGTCGTAAGAGGCGACAAACGGAATCGGGTGGTCAGGCTCGCTGACTTTGTTGACACATGTCATCGGTTCCCAATTGCGCAGTGTAAAACTAAACTCACTCACTCTAAACTACTCACACCTGCCATAGATCTAAGTAATACACATATGCTTCCTGTTTGGTCAGACCATGAACTTACCACTCATTCATTTTGTAATTTAATACTTCTCAAGAAGCACTGATAATCTTTTCCTTCAACTTTGCTCTGACACTTTAAAAATTAAAATCTGTATGATGAAAATTCGAAATGTTTCAATATCAGTTTTAAACATGTTCTGTTATTTTTGCCTGCCAGTATAACAAGACGATAGTTTATGAGACAGACTACCCCCTTGTGGACAAAACACAAGTTTGTCACCTTGGCAACAGCACATCACCCGGGAGTTAGAGTCGCCAGTTCCACTTGTCAACAGTAAGAGTTTATATCTCATTTGTTTTATGTTTGGTTTTGCTAACCAATCAGCTTGGTCAAATACATAGTTTCATAATGCAGTGGGTTCAGGGAGGCCATTTTTTAAAAGTAATACTTGTTGCAGTTTGACTATGATATACCAACAAAGTTTTTGTGACCTTGAGCAGGGGGACCTCATTGGTGACTTGTCAAATAGCGCCGTACACTAATAAAATCTGATAATATCAGATGCAAGAAAGTACTTTGTATATGTATATTTTATATATATCTTTATTAAAATTTGCACCAGAGTTTGTGGGGTAGCGTCGTAGTGGTTAAAGCATTTCCTTGTCACGCCAAAGACACGGGTTCGATTCCCCACATGGTTGCAATGTGTGAAGCCATTTTCTGGTGTCCCCTGCCGTACTACTGCTGGATTATTTCTCTAGCAGTGTAAAACCATACTTGCTCACTATAATTTGTACCAAAGAAGATTATTATCCCCCGCAACGTGTTTTGCGGGGGTATTAAAATGGACTCTGTCTGTCCCTCCGTCTGTGTGTCCGTGCACATTTGTCTTTTTTGGGGCATAACTCTATAACCGTTCAATGTTTCTTCACCAAATTTGGCACTTAGATACATTTGGTGATGAACTGGTGCCTTTTAGTAGTTTTGGATTTCTGAATAATATGTTTTTTGCATTTCAATGGCAACAAGTTTGACTTAGACCGAAATTGGTGGTAATGCTCTTTTCCGGAGAAGAACTTTAAAACCCTTCACTATTTCCTCACCAAACGTGGCACATCGATAGCTCTGGTGGGGTACTGGTGCCTTTTGGTAGTTCTGGATTTCTGAATAAAGTTTTATTGGCGTTTCCATGGCAACAAGTTTCACTTTGACTGAAATTGGTGGTAGTGCTCTTTTCCGGAGCAGAACTTAAAAACTGTTTACTGTTTCATCACCAAGTTTCATACATAGGTAGGTCTAGTGGTGTACTGGTGCCTTTTGGTAGTTTTGGATTTCTGAATAAAATATTTTTGGGGGGTTTCCATGGCAACAATTTTGGCTTCAACTGAATTTGGTGGTAGTGCTCCTTTCTGGAGCAGAACTTTGAAACCTTTCAGTGCTCTCATTCCACTTAGCTCTATACACGCCAAAACATAACTGGTAGACTTATTCATGAAGAGTATTTTGCCATTGCGGGGGATATTGATGACTTTGTCTTCTTGTTACCTTTGTTTGTTTCCATATTTATGTTTCATGTACACTTATTGGGGTGGTGGGGTATCCTAGTGGTTAAAACATTCGTTTATCCCGCCAAAGACCTGGGTTCGATTCCCCACACGGGTACAATGGTGTCCCGAGCCGTGATATTGCTGGAATATTGTTGAAGGCGGCATAACGCTAAACTCACTCATATACGCTCGTTATTAATGTAAAGTAGAGGTAGTATTTCAGTATTATAGATGGTATATGTGAGGAAAAGGATATTGTTATACAAGCCTTCAGCAAGTATTCTGCATCTGTATAATATATGTAGTGTATAAGTTGTTATTATGTTGGGGCAGTGGGGTAGTATAGTGGTTCAACCGTCGGCTCGTCATGCCGAAGACCCGGGTTGGATTCCCCACTTGGGTACAATGCGTGAAGCCCTGGTTTCTCCCACTGTAATATTGCTGGAAGCAGCATAAAACCATATTCACTTACTCACTCTGATGATCCCAGTCTCCCAGGAAACGAAGACAAGATGGTACAGATGCTGAGTACAGTTGGACCGCTGACTGTGACGGTAGACGCATCTACATGGAACAACTACATCGGGGGCATCATCAGGTTTCACTGCTCCAACGTCAACAACCATGCTGTACAGATTGTGGGTTACGACCTTCGGGGTAAACTTGCAATTTTGAAGTATTTGCATTACATGCAAGAGTTGTCCTTTTCTATGGTAACTAAGTAAGAAGTATAAGCAGGGAATCACAAATATTATTTAAAAAATTTAAATTCTTTCATGTTTGTAACAAAGCATGACAACTGTAGGATTCTTTGTCAAAGGATTATGTTATTCCATGAACGCAGTATGTCTTAGGTCTTGTATGTTCACTTTGTTCTGCAATTACTTGTGAATACATACCACGCCATTGTATAGTACTCATGAATACACAATGTCTTTTGACCCATGCAGATCCGGGTTAGAATTGGTCTTTAGTAACCCATGCTTGTCGTAAGAGGCGACTAACGGGATCGGGTGGTTAGACTTGCTGACTTGGTTGACACATGTCATCGTATCCCAATTGCTCATGATGTTGATAACTGTTTGGCTGGTCCAGACTCGATTATTTACAGACTGCCGCCATGTAGCTAGATTATTGCTGAGTGTTTGGTATTACACTTTTCTTCGACTGTCTGTAAACATGCCAGCACTTTTAATTTGAGTTGCATCTGCTTTTCAAGGCTACGCTATCAGAGTGGGGTACTTAACTGCCAGTGAATAAAGTCAGCAATCTAAACTGATCAACCAATGGGGCTTCTATGAAAATATAAGGCCAACAGCTGGTTATCTGGATTATGTTCTTGGTGGAAAGTGTTCCCAATGTACAGGAATTTTATTTTTTCTTATCGGTTATTTTGAGTTATATTTCAAGCCATGCTCATCTTGGCATGGAGAGGGAAGCCAGTTATAGGGAAAATATACATTTAGTGCGGCTTTACGTGGGTACTGGGATCATTTCATACTTCTTGTTCAAAACAAAAACAGATATCGTCTTCGATCTTGGTTGTTGCTTTATTTCGACTGCCATCATTTTCTACACATCTCTAATTACGTCATCATTTCTTGCACACACAGAAACTATTTCTAAACAAAAATGAGACTAATCATCATTGTGACAGTGGTTGTCTGCTGACTGATGTAAATGTAACAAAATATAATGGTGTTAGATTACATTATAAGATAAAATAATGAGGGTCTATTTTTACATACAGCAGAAAGTCCTTACATCAGAAATATTACCTACCTAACTTGCAAAACAAGCTTATAGACTATTAGTCATTTTATGTTTACTGAAGCACTCGTAAAATATTCACAAAGTGAATAAAAATAAAATCTCACTGTATAACACAGTGTATGCTCTGATCAGTGTGTGATGGGACTGCATTGTGAAAACAAATGTTTCTCACTTGATGTTGTTTGCATCATGTAGATGTACCACAGCCTTGTTGTGGGGTAGCCTTGTGGTTAAGTGTTTGCTAGTCATGTCGAAGACCTGGGTTCGATTTCCTACGTGGCACAATATGTGAAACCCATTTGTATCTACTCCACACATTGCCCCAGTTTCTGGCATTAGTAGGACTCACATAACATTCATGCACAGCATGGTTCCTTTCATTTCTGAGTTACTCATCGTCTTGTTTCTTAAGCTGGTTTCTTATGCATGGTCATTACACTGCATATTGATGAAGCCTTAGTTGACCAGGGATGAAAATTTTCCTCGGATCCGCGGAATTCCGGGAATTTCATAAGGCCAAGGGTCATTTTGTGAATCGTCTTAATCAGATAGATGCTAAACCCCTGGCTAGTTTTCAGAGTTTTTCTCAAAACTTCATTCTCATCCCTGGTTGACAAAAGGATGCAGTGTACACATATTAAACAAAATACTGATGTTTTGATGCAGCCCTGTTTGTGATCAGAAGGATGATCAGATGATCAGAAATTGAGATAACGAAACACCATGGAATGGAGGCAGGAGGAGGTGATCAGTGTGGTGGGTGTGTGGTGGTGGTGGGAGATGAGGGGAGAAGAAGGGGAGAAAGTGAATTGTTGACAATGAAACACCAGTCAAATTATGCAACTCATGAGCGATTGCGTTGATTGATTTCGGCCACGGCAACTACTGAAGCGAAGTGTTGTCTGCTACTGTGTGATCATGTGACATGACCTAACACCAAGGGAGACAACTGGAACAACACTACTCTAGATGTTTTTACAAAAAAAATTTCAATTTCTGCAGCTTGGAGATCAAATTCAGTCCAATTCAAAACAAATGTGCTTTTCCCGATTATTTAGCACAATGTCATACTTTGCTTACACTACCCTCTCTATCCACGTATCACAGCTACCTGGTATATGATCTCTGAGTAAATATAAACCATTTTTCCAGGAGATGTGCCTTTCTACATTGTGAGAAACTCCTGGGGAACTGACTTTGGTGATAACGGCTACCTGTACATCAAGATTGGAGACAACTTGTGTGGTAAGCTTGTCCGAAGCTAATATTTTCTGTGGAAACCATTCAGCATTTTGAACAGGTAGGGACTGCTTCCATAACATGAAGCTACAGTGGGGATTCTTTTGCAACCATAGCTGTCGTACTCAATGGGTCATCACCAAGGTACACCAATTTACATAATTAAGGATTCACTGACTTTTCTCAATGTGACACACTTTGCATTGTGAGTTCATGTAGCAATACAAATTGATAAAGGTATTTATGGGAGTGCCTGAAATAATTGTGAAATACTATTTCTATTTAGATAAACCCATTTCTAGTGTCCTCGGCTGTGATATTGCTGGAATATCGCTAAAAGCGGCGTAAAACCCAACTCACTCACTCACTATTTAGGTACAAGAGGTCTTAGGTCACATTAATTAAGGGACAAGGGCTGGTGCGGGTCCAAATTTTCTACCCGGGTACCCCACCCCCTATTACCCTACTCTACCTGGATACCCGTTATGTTAATTCCTGACATCATATTTGCAAGAAATGGCAATATTTTCTTCAGCTCGGAGGTTAAAATTTCGAACTTTTCAAATTTTTAAACTTATCCTATCTCACGACTTGCACCTCTCTCTCTTCATCCGACCATGAGTGGAAACGAATTTAAACTTTGCTCCAGGCCTTCCTTGTCCCTGTCCCCGTGCTGTGCATGCCTTCCTGCCTTAGCCATGCTCACTAGGCCGTGACAGCACGTGGCATGCGCAGTCCTCACCCACGTGATCACCTTCCATACTCATTCTCTTTCTTGTCACTCCACAGAGTGGACGTGAATTTTTTTTTTTCGTCTGATAATTGCTCAACATGGTTAAGCCTGTTCAGGCCAGAAACGAAGTTTTGCGCTCAGCGTAATAAAGTTTTTTTCAGCTTGGGACCCACACACATCGTGTGTTGATTTTGTGGGTTGTTGTGATTAGGACAAACGTTGTCCTAAGTGTTCAGGACTTGTCTAATGAGGATTTTAAAGCTTACAAACGTGCTTGTGCCAGACGTTTGGCAGAGAGGGCCAGGAAAGCGTATGCGGGATCTGGTCCATTTCCCTCTAAAAACAATGTTTACATCGCCCCACCCTACCTGCTCGCCGTTCTAAATCTCCGTCTCTCCTAACGAAGATTTTATGGACGCTTCGTCTGATTCCTAATTGTCTGAGAATGTTAAAGGCGCTTTGGGACGCTTTCCTCGCCTAGCTCCAGTTCTCATGGGCATGCAAGGTCGGTAATGACTGATATTTCCTCTACACAAGACCGGCGATCTACTTCATCTCAGATCCGCTTCTCTTCGGACCGTTCAAAGTCCTCGAAAACTTCTAAATCCAAGCATTCATCATCGGCGTGGATCGGGTGTGGTTGAAATATAACATTTCTCCTCTTCGTGCGGTTTCATCCCACCGAAACAATTCACCCACACGAAAGTCACCGTCTGGTTCGATTCGATTTCCTCTTCTACTGCTGGGAAGTGTCGAGATCTCCACGCTGAGGTCTCGGTCCTTCCGATGTACCAGTCCTTCACCACCTCGATTCTTTCACCAATCAGGGAATGCAAGTGTTGGTTCACTAGATCGGAACCATTCACCTAGCCGAGGTCATTGCTGGGTCCTTCACGATGTCACCAGACCATAATCGAATGGGTTCACCTGACCAACTGATTCACGTAATCGAATGGGGTTCACCAGGACGAACCGTTCACGTTCACATTCCCGACTCAGTTCACCTCAACATAGGTTTCAGTTCGACTCACCATCTCATAGTCCTATCAATTCACCACAGCGTTTTGATCCAGTTCACCTAACCGGTCGGCGGTTTGTTTTGTCCAGTGATTCGTCGTTTGTTTTTGTCAGTGATTCTCGTAGTCGGTCTCATTCACCTCAGGTGAATCAGGATATCCCGTCTTGTCAGTCTAGAGCTAGTGAGCACTTGTGGTCAGCACCTTTACGTGATAGTTCCCCTCATTAACATCGTTCTGTGCGGGTGGTTTCACCTGCTAGGCTGCGTTATGGTTCAGTGGATCGGCGTTAACCTTCACGCCATGTCACTTCTACTTTGCCTCGGTCATAGGTTATTGCTGAGTCTTGGAATTCTGCGCTTGATCCCTCTCCAGCACCGGGTAGAGACACCATGCTTCTTGCTGTTGACCCTAAATAGCGTAATTTTGCGCACACTGTAACAATATTTACTTCTTCGGATCCCCCCTCGTCATGTGTGGGTTGTACTGACCTGTGTTCCTGGAGCAAATGTTGTCGGGAATATGCCCCCTTATCAAGGACGTTTTTAGAGCATGTAGACATGCTTGCTCCCGTTGGCTGGCAGACAGAGCTCGTTACACTTCAACAGTTGATCACCCGACAAACCCCCGCTTTTAACGACCGGTGTTAACTGCTCGTCATCGGGAGATTCCCATGTCTAACGGTGATAATTTTATTGGCGCATCATTAGATGTCTTCTCGTGGTTCCGCCTCATCAAAACGCTCTGTGTTGCCAGCTGACTCACACATCCGATCTACATCGTCAAATCGCCGAACCGATTCACCACACCGAATCGGTTCGCCATACCGAATGGATTCACCAGACCGAACCGTTTCGCCATACCGAATGGATTCACCACACCGAATCGGTTCGTCATACCGAATGGTCTCACCAGACCGAACCGTTTCACCACGGCGTATGTGGAATACGACATCGACTCAGTTTCTTATCGCCGAAACGGTTCACATCATCGATTCAATTCACAGCACCGAAACGATTCACCTCGGCCAGAACATTTCACCTCGCCTCACCAGTTCATCTGAGCGTTCTAGATCTCTCCATCAGCTGAGATCATTTAAACATTTCGGATTACCAAACCGATACAGATCACAGTCACGATCCAGATCATAACGCCGATCCAGATCTCGGACTGATTCAGATCACGTCAACATTCCGGTTCACCACCCTGAACCGATTTACCAGCCCGACTCGTACCGTTTCACCAGGCCGAAAAGCTCCTTATCGACGAACCAGTTCACCTGGCCGTTCAAGTTCACTGAATTGTCAGCATTTATCGAACTGTCAGCTTTCGTCAATAATCCGTTCCTCAAACCTTGCCAGCAATTGAGCTTATTCATGAATTGGGTGATTCACCACTCGTGTTATTTCCAACACGGCGCATCTTACCAGCCTATCAGAGCCTATGCCAAATGTGTCTGGGATGCCTCCCAAGACACTTAACCCACATCGAACCTCGTCTTTGTTTTCATGGTTCGGGCTACGCCAGTCGCCTATAAGAGGCAGGAATGGTTTTGGTTGATTCGACACACATGATCGCATGGTTCGCCGACCACCTACAGCTACCTAGAGCAAGATACCAGATGTTCAATTGATTGCATTCAACATGAAGGATCGGGACTTGTCAACATTGGTTTTCCACATCCTCAACGAGGTTCGTGAACTTGCATCTAGATTGGGCCAAATTTGTCGAACTTTGATGATTAGAGTGACTATGAAGTGCCCTTGCAGACTTGTCTTGGTCCCACGAATCGGATACCAAGTCCAGCCTTTAAATGTTAGTAACAATGAACGCTGCCATTCCCCTTTAAGAGTGAATGTGTCGGGATTTTGACAGCCAGTCGAGAGAGACTGCTTATCGAGGGTGACAGACAGAAGCACCCGTGAACGGTTTGACTAGTTCAAGCACAGAGTTCAGAGGTCACTGCAGTTATGCAAGGACTGTCACCAGGCAGCGATCTACTACCTTTATACCTCCACTTGGCGCACCATTATTTTGTTCCGCCAACCGAAACGTTCCTGAGGTCACCGATCGTACGAATTTCTACAATTCGTTTACAATGTGAACGTTCCTGTAGATTGACTGACAATCTCCTTTCCCCGAACATACTACATTGAGCACTCCGTCAGAACTGACGTAGTTGCTCGACTTCTTGAACGTTCTTATAACAGGAGATATCTTTTTGTCAGAGGCAAGAGTGGTTAGACCTCTCATTTCCCTCGACCTGCGAGGGCCGTAGGGTAGCCTAGTGGTTAAAGCGTTGGCTCGTCACGCCGAAGACCCCGGTTCGATCCCCACATGGGCACAATGTGCTAAGCCCATTTCTGGTTTCCCTGCCGTGATGTTGCTGGATTATTGCTAAAAGCGGTGTAAAACTAAACTCAGTCAGTCAGTCAGTCAGTCAGTCAGTCAGTCCCTCGACCTGTGAGACGCCTACCTTCACATCCGGATACATCCAGACTATCGGAAGTATCTTCGATTTACTTTCAAGGGGCGTCATTGATACCAATGGAGGGTCCTGCTGTATGGGTATATGTGCAGCCCCGTGGCTTTTTACTCAGATACCCATTCCGATAACAAGCTACCTGCATTGTCGAAGCGTGACATTTGACAACAATATCGACGACTGTGTTCAAGCCCAGCAGGATCCAGTCGTCCTTCCTTTCCACAGACAGTTCATCATCAAGTTGCTCATGCAATTAGGATGGCTGCTAAATTCGGAGCAATCAGGGGTAACACCGACCCGATGATTTCTTTTTATTGGGACAATATTCAATACGACAGGTCATGATGTTTGTGCCCCAGGAGAGGTGGGACAAGATTCAGTGCAACGCACCACTAGTGTTGGTCCAACCCACACCTTTTCGCCAGTGGCAGAAGTTACTAGGGTGGTTGGCGTCGGCACAAGCGCTGACTTACAGGGGCCAGCTGCAGCTTGCCCTCTTCAGATGGTTCTGTGCCCATACATCGGGGACGACAACCCCAGGGAGTTGATTCTTCTTCCCTCACAACTACATTCAGTCTTTCGTTGGTGGCTCAACAAGTGGAATGTTTGTGTTGGAGTCTCTAGGGTGCCCTTCATACCGACTCAACACCTATTCGTTGGCACATCTTGCAAGCTGGGGCGCTCACTTTCTCCATCAAGAGGCCTAGCAGTGGTCATCAGGAGAAAGGGCCCTTCATCACAACGAATTGGAATTCAGCACTGTCATTATCGC